TTTGCAGTGTCATGTGGGTGGCTTTATGCAGAATGTATTACCTCAGGCAAGCAAAATCTTTGTCTGGCACCTTTCCTTCTGCCCCCAGTGCTTTTCTTCCTGCATTCTTCCAGTTCAGTTTAGCCCAGAACAGAAGGTATTTTTTAAGTACCACAAAACAAAAGTTCCTTCGCAGAGATTAGTCTGGAAAAGTTGTGGTAAAAAGGATTTGACAGAAATATGTGTACGTGAAGGTTGCTGACTTTTTTTTTTTGTCCTTGTTGGAATATTTCAATTTGTACTTCACACTGAAGTGATAAGCCATCAGCAGTGGAAATGAGAACTCATTTGAGGTGTGCAGGAGCTGCTACAGCCTGGTCTGGGTTAACTTCCTTAGCCTTAAATAGACACTTGTGTTTTGAAGACAGCTGAAAGTTTAGTTAAAATTTAAACAAGTGGTTTCACTTGTTTGAAAAGAAAAAAAAAGCTGAAAGGTGAAACGTGGCGTGGTTGAATGGTCTGCTGCTGCTGAAGGTGGAGCGGGTACGGCTGGCAGAGAGCCTTGGCCTTTCACAGCAGTTCTCTGCTGGCACTTGTGTTCCACTCTCCCTGTGCCCCAGGTGTGTCTCATGGCTGGTTTCACACACGTGCCTGGCAGGTGTTGCTGTGCTGGGCTCTTTGCCTGCTTGGGGTCCCTCTCCTCAGGCACACGCAGCGGGATGCAGCGCGGTCACAGCTGGCTGGGCAGCCTGGTCGTTGTGCTTGTTCCAGCAAGTTCTTACTCATTTCATGTCCTCGTGTCTTCCGTGTCGTTTGCCCACTGTAGTGACACTGGGGAGCTGCTGGGCGTGATCTGGTATCAGTGTGCTCAGTGCTCAGTCTGTGTTTTGGTGCAGGGGGGCTCTGCAGCCTGGGGAACACACTGGGGCTTCTTATAACAGGATGTGCAATCCTTAACCAGCTGCTTGAAACTGTTTTCTGGTGAATTAACTTCACTTTTTATGTGATTGTTATCTCTCTAAGGCCATGTAGTATTGAAATTAATTCTGTCACTGTCAAGATAAACTTCGATTAGGCTGTTTCTGAACAAAGTAGAGGTTAACTGTAATACTTGTCTTCTACAGCTGTGCATGTGTTGGTGTAAAACTACCCACATATAAACATCAGACCTGTGGCACTCTCGGTGTGGACTTCTGAGGTGATGTATAGAATCATACTACATGGGTGATGGAGGTGTGTTTTTGTAAAAGGATGACCAATTTCTTACAAATGCTTTTGAAGGCAGATGGCCATTCTCAGGGGAAGGCTGAAGAACAAATTAACTTCTTAGTCATTTCTTCACAAGATAGCCTGACGTAGGTGTTGAACTCAGAAAATCCTCTCTAACATTTTGGAAAAGTTCATGAAAGCTTTTGAAAATTTTAGGCAGTTTTTTGTCCAGAAAGAAAAGATTAAGTTTACATGTGTATTTTTCTGGCCTTAGCAGTTGCTTGGTGGGTAGGAAATAGGGCCAGGAGAGTTGAAGCATCAGAGATGATGTATCCTTCCATCCATCATCTCTACTTACAGGAAGAATAAATAAAGTACAAAGGAAATGAGCAGTGGACATTTGATTCTTCCCTTTTTTTTTTTTTTTCAATAAAAGATTGATATCCTTTAATCTTCAGTACTTGAGGATTTCAGAAGAATGATAAATGCTAGGGTTAAAGCAGAATCTTGTAATATCCTTGTTTTATAGAGAGGGAGGGAAAAGGCTCAATAAACTAACTGATCTTGTGGCAAAGCCATAAAGCATGAAATAGATGCAACAATCCTGAGTAACAGAAATGCTGATGTTCAAGGCAGTTCACAGAGATTTCATAAACAAATTAACTTGCCTGTAAGAAAAGAATGGTGCTGCTGTTGTAGCTGTTCATCAGCAGTGGTAGCTGTTCTTGGAATAAACCTTAATAATCCAGGTGAATGAGAGTTGGGTCAAGGGATTCTGTCCTTTTCAGTAAGCCTGTTCTTTTCATCTTTGATCATGAACTCACTTTGTCTATATTATATAGCAAACAGAAGTCAGAGAGATGGATGACTTCAGTCAGACTTAATGGTGACAGTTTAATTCCTGATCATGGCAGCTCATTTGTTTGCATATACATATATGTGTGTATAAGAAACTAAAAGTTACTTTTCATTTTCGTTTGCTAGAGTCGCTTTCTTGTGCTTTTCATTTCCAGCTACAAGGAAAATAGTCAAAATAAGACAACTTTGGGCTTTTTGTCTTGGCTCTGCCCTTTTTGGTGCTTTGGAATGATGCTGTTTGTGACTCCTATCTCTTACTGTGCAGGGTCCTTCTCTGCCAATTTTGTTTGGTATCTACTCAGTATTTACTGTTACATTGAAGGAAAAGCAGGCTCTGTCTGATGTGCTCAAATGGGGATTTTTGGAAAGCAGTGTGTGTATGACAGGAATATTCTTTGCAAATTAGTCACAATCTTATTTGAGTTTAAAGAGAGCCTGAGCATGTCCATGCTCCCTTCCCAATGTGAACACACAAGTGTTCCAAAGGATGAGCTCCTGTGAGGGCACATAAAACCCAGGAAAACTTAGTACTGAGAGATTCTTAAGGATTTTTCATCTGGATGAAAAGAGTTTTGTACCTTGGCAGGAAATCAATGCTTTCTCATTCTTATTATGCCTGTAGCAACATCAGCTATAGACATCTCTACACCAGGGAAAACTTCATTTGAAGTTCCCATCATTGCAGCCATATTGCTGCTAAGAAATCTTGAGGTTCCTCATGCAGATGAAGTTCCTTTAGTCCTCCTTGTGCTAGCAGTGTCAGGATGTCTCATGAAGGGCAAATTCCCATGTTCAGGTTTGTTTCTGACTCTTTAAGTTTTATCAGCTTTGATAAAACTGACCTCTGTTTACAAAGTATTACTGTGTGATAGCTGCTCTATCAGTGCTAAATCTTTTGATATTTCCAGCATCTGTATATCTGCAGAAATGCTAAATAGTGATTTACATTGTCAGAGTCCTAGAACAACACAGCAGACTTATCCTCTCCTGTGTATTTTGGAAAAACACATCTGGTACCACTGTGAAGTCTTTATTTATACTTGAAGTGCTGAGAAGGTAATAGACTAATTTTGGCAATTGTTGGAGTAGGGATGTTCTTGTGCACACACATGGGCCTGTCACAAAGGCATTCTCATTCTAGTTTGAATACTAACACAGGAAAGCTCAAGACAATTAGAAGTAGGAAGAGGAGGGAGAGATTATGGAGAGGCTGTCTCTTTTAAAAGAAAGCATAATTCAGCTTCAGCTGCTGTAGAACGCCTCCTTGGAGGAAAGCTTGATCCTTTTTGTGTCTGACCCAGCAGCCTGAGCGCCATGAGACCAAAGAAGCAAAGAATCAGCCTGTGGTACAGTTTCCTTAAAGATGAAGGAGAGAACAGGCAGCCCTTCAAGAACCCTGGCATTCCAAATATGTAAGGCCTCTGAAAACTGGCAAGAAGCTGCAGTGAATTACTAAGCGGAGCTAGGGACCAACATAAACTAACAAATATAAATTCAAGCATGAGTTTATCAGCTGAAGCCAGGCACATATGAGAGTGTGTGTGTTTCTTGCTAAAAGCAAAGAGTGAGAGGCTGATATATTGCTTTGATGCTATTTAAGAGAAAATAGTTGCAATCCATATCATTTTGCTGTCAAATGTATTTGAAAAATGGAAAACATGTTGAATATATGTTCTGCAAATAGTTATCAACAGTGTTCCAGAAGGATTTGGTTTAGTGGATTCCTTAGAATTCGCCATTCAAATCTTACATGTCTTGAATGATCTTGAAATTGGCTGTTGTTCTGTACTGTGGCAGAGTGAGAGCATTGCAGAGGTTAATTGTAACTTGTCAAAGCCTGTGATGCTGCTGTTCTCAATGGAGAGACTCTTCCAAAGGGCTTAGTTTAGTCTGCAAAAGCAAGTCTTTTACTCATGTTTTAGAGGCACTGCCTCTCTCTGATCTATAGAAGGCTAGACTTAGTCTGTAGTCCTGTGAACACCCTGATGCACTGGTAAAAAGCTTAAGCAAATCCTAATTCCAGGAAAACATAGCTTTTACCTCTCAGCATATGGATATCAGCCTGATGATTGCAGTTGCATAAATGAAGGCGACAAAGAAGGGTTCCAGATTCTGATTTCATGTCAATTATCTGTTGTGTGGTTTTAAGAAAATTCATTGCATTATTTTGATTCCACTGAAGAAAATTGTAAAGGCACCAGTGCAAACGTGTAAAAGATATTCAGGCTTTCTTTGTGCAATCCTATATGAGAGAAGCTCCTTGTAATTGCAGGAAGAAGCAGAAAGCTTTGGGTCAGGTAGCTCATCACCTCTAACTGGTGCTTTACAGGAACAAAAAGGCAGCAGGAGAGTGAAGTGCAGGAGCTGTGGCAAATTTGGCTAGGGGCAGCAGCTGGAGTTGCTGGATGAAAGCAAAACATGGCCTGTTTGTCAGGGAGCCTCTTCGATGCTCTATGATATGACTGGTGCTCTAAAAATGTGAAATGTTACTACATGCTATTAGAGAAAGAGTCAGTCCAACATGAATTAGAGCAAGCAGTTGTGACAACTGAACTGTGTCGTTAAAGGGCGGGCTGGTAGGACCCCTCTTGTGTTACTTAGCTTGTATTTATGATCATTACTGCTGGTGATGGACAGTGATGTAAAGGTTAATCTTCAGAGCAGCTATTTTTCCCTGATAATCTTCTTCATAGCATTTTGTCACAGCCCTACTTTGCCTCCTCACCCATTCTTTTTTTTTTCCTGTTTTTAAACCTAAGTAATCTACTGTTGCCATGCACACACTGGGTTTCTGAACAGGAGCAAGCCCATAGCTGACTCCCATGCCAAGCCCCAGCACTCAACCATCGCAGCATCCCGGTTCTCCCACTTGGTTTCCAAATGCCACATCAGCTCACTGCAAAGCTCACCGCATCTTCTAAATTTTTTTTTTCCTTTTTCCCCTCCCCACTTAGAGCACGATGAGTGTGGCAGTGGGCAGCACAACTGTGATGAGAATGCAATCTGCACTAACACCATCAGGGGACACAGCTGCACCTGCAAACCCGGGTACGTGGGCAACGGGACCATCTGCCGAGGTAAGTCTATTATTGTAGAGACACCATAAACTTGTCAGGCTGTATTAATGTTTGCTGACAGTCAGCTGCATGCTGGTAACTTATGATGGCTGGATTTTGCAATGGTTTGCTTTAAGACATCTTCTGGCAAATGATGGGAATTGATTTGTGCGTGACTTCTTAGGAAGAAGGAAATCTTCTCGGAATGGAAGGAGAAAAGAACTTTATATTTGCTGCACTGCATACTGTCTTTGGAGCTAGTATAATTCAGCTTTTGAGTGGTGTTCATGTTTTATAAAATGTGGATGCTATGTGCTGTCACTTTTGGCTTTTAAGTTTTAATGAGGTGCACTTTAAATTAGGATAATTCTATTTTATGCTAGCACCATGTGGTTGTTATTTGACTACTTGCATCAGAATCATGACTTTTTTTTAACCTATAAATCATTAAATGTGTATTTTGAAGATTTCTCAGTTTTGTAAACAAGAAATAATGATAGCCAGCCATGCTTCCTGTGAAGTATTCATTTATGGCATGTCATTTATTTAGGATTGGCTTTATGTTTTTCTTTCGGTAGAGAAAGAGAAGCAAATATCTCATGTAAGGACAAAGGAGGGTTGGATTAGTGAGGGCTCTGTCTTGAAGTATTACTGAGTTGTAACTCATGCATTTATGAATTATATTTGTCTCAGAAAAAGCTTTTTTTGTCTTTCCTGTGTTTTCATACTTCCTGAACAGAATTACAATAATTGAAAACTAAATTTTCGGGTTTTTTTTTTTTTGAAAAGACAACAATTGAAACAGAGGAATGTACTGGATAAAATGTTCTCTACAATTTCAGGCACAACAGGCTGAATATTAATTTCTCAGGCTCTTGTAAATTGGCCAAACAATTCCTTAAAGGGTAATGAGCTTTGATGTCATTCCTGTTTCAAACTGAAGTCCTTCACCAAGATTGTCCTGTCAGCTGCTGAATTAGCAACCATCAGATTGGTTTTGATACGACTTTTATCTGGGTCCTTTCCACCAATGCCAGAGCATCCCTGCACTTAAAAGTAAAATGGTTAGTTAAGGATTGAATAAAGAGTAGAAAAATGTACTGTAAATGTTGGGCAAGTTAAACCTTGGCCTGTCTGTATTGAAGATCAGCAGGTGATACCAGGGAGAAACTCACTGCAGTCTTTGATTACAGCAAATATGAATTGCAGCACTACTTGCATCAGAATGCAAGTTGAGTTTCAGAGAAGCATGAGTACTGAACAGCCTGACTGTAATATTTTCTTCTTATTATTATTACATTAATTATATTAATTATATTTCTTTGAAATTGGGATATTTGGATTAGTTAATGAAATCTGTGTTTTCACACTGGTTTTCTTCATTTGCATACCTTTAATGTGCCAAGAACTCGAGGTGAAACTCCTACTGCATATTCATTAATCTAGTAATGTTGTAGTAATGAAATGGCACTAGAGAAATGCAGCAATGTTTTTACTCTCAAAGTTCTATTAAAACCTGAGCTACTACAATAAATATTTTTGTATATAGAAATATTATGTATTGTGTATATATATGTTCAGTATGCCTTGAATTGCACATGCAAGTGTAGTTACAGTTGTCTTTTTGAGATAGGTATGCATGGAGATACAGGGAAGTGTGTTTTTATATTCTGACTAGGAAGCATAAATTGGAAAGACAACTGGAGATTATAGAATTGGGTCTAATAATTATTGAAGTCAGTGAGGACAAGAACAATGCAGCACTGCATGGAATATTCATTACTGCTGACTATTAGAATCATCTGCATTTTAGTAAAATGTAAAACACACAATATAAAGTACCGGTTTGATTTTCTGAGCCTGTGATTCTGTGTTTACATGAGGTTCTCACAAGTTTGGATGCTGACTGAAGAAATGTTCCCATTTTGCCCGTGATAGCAGAAACACCACTTCTGCCTTTTTTTCACTAAGTTCAACAACAATATGTCATCACTTACCTGCCACAGTGGTTTTTTTCACAAATGCTGGCACAAGGAAAGAGGTGTGAGCATGTCAAGACAGCTATAAACTGCTGTTGGCTTGTGGGATTTTAGGGCTTTATCTTCAGGCAATACAGATTGGAAAAACATAGATAAAAGTCAAGGTGATATGTTTGCTGTAATACCATCTGAAGATAAGATAACTGTTTCTATTCTCCTTGAGACATCTGCAAGTGCTTTATAAATGTTTACATGTTAGAGATGTGTACACACACAAAACAGTGGTTCCAAGTACTACTGAAATAATACATCTCTGGGGTTCAGTAGGAAATCTTATTAATATTGTTCAGCAAAACCATAAATGGAAAAATGATGGTTTTATGATGAGAGAAAAGGACTGGCTTTGTGCATGATTCTGCATTCCATTTCAACAATCTATTTTAGCAGTGTTATTAAAAGTAAAATCAGAGTAGTGATCCTCTTTGGATTTAGTGAATAACACACTGATAGCCTTTATAAAAAACCCAGGATATTGTTATATTTGTTTTAGAAAAGAAAACATATGTAGTTGAATTAAATTCTATTGTGGACTACTGGCAAATACAACTCAATTACTCTGGCAGGAATTTGTGTTGTTTGCCATTTTTGTGAAAAGCACAGAGAAATAAAAAGGAACAGAAATAATATGGACATGATATCATGATTGCTGGGGATTTATGAAAAAAAAAAACTCAAAACCCAAGCAAAACCCAAATATTGAAGAGGAAATAGAATATTTAAAAAAACCCCAAACCTGTATAACCAGACAATCACACATCTTGACTAGCAAAAGATCTTGTGCATAAGGAATTGCATTACTGTAAATGTAGTACACTGGGCTGTTTAATTAAAGACCAAATTGTGTCAAAGATGTGGAAAGGGTCACGGAGGAAGGTGGTGCAGAAAGGGCACAGACCAAGACTTGAAGGGGCTTCAGCATTAAAAGAGATATTGCCATAGTTTAATTGACACCGAAAATGGAAAGAGAAGTGGAGATGAATGCAATGAAAACTCTACAAATACACAGTTATTTCTATGTAGACAGTGAGACAATAAGCTAGAGACAAATAAGATTTCCTGTGGATACTCTCAATTTCACTTTAAGAAGCAAACTTTAGCATCTCAGGCAGACACTGAAATTTGGGTAATAGATGAGAGCAGAATGAAGCTGAGGTAAGCTAAAATGATAAGGCTCGACAATGCTGTGCCATCACCATCAGAAAACTGGACAGAAAAATGGACTCAGAATCAGGTAGATTATATATTAGGATTTCATCAGAAAATGGTAAGTAAACCAGAGATCCATGCTGGAAGAAATTGCAGCATCAAAAGCAGAGGACAGAGGTATAACTACTTGAACAGAGAGAGATTCTACAGATTTATTAAATGGCTCTTTTCTATGAAGGAAACTTTGGAAAAAAATAAAAAGAAGTAAGAGTGATTTGGGACTCAGAAAATGTTATAGGTGGGTAATGGAAGACATGGCATGCCCTTTTACTTGAATTCTCTAAATGAATTATGGAATTCATAGATGGGGTAGAATAAGGACAATTTCACTAAACTTCAGCACAGGATGTGATAGTGCAGCGTTAAGGCTGCACTTCAGGTGGAAGGGAAAGGTGATAAAAGTTGGTTTAACAACTGAGTGCTCCAGTTAAAAAGAGTTGTTTTGGGCAAATGGTGGCTACTTGGTACAGTGTGGTACTTTGAAGTGTGCCTGTCAGGATGGACCTCGTGAGAAGTCAATGCTTAGTGGCAGCAGTTAGAGCAAAGAAGTTTCAGTTTCCTGGGACAGTTTTGGCTCCCTGGGACAACCAGGTTCCTGAATAACTCATCACCCATAGACAGGACTGTGTGTGTGAACACAAAACACTGTCATCTATAAAATGAGTAAAACTCACTGTCATGGCTTCAGCTGAAGAACCAGGGGTAGTGAATACAGATATAAATACCATTTTTAGACCTTAGAGGCTCTTGGTCCATGTTATATTGCAATGTTTCTCTGTGTAATCTTGACAAGGCTTGAATCTGGGAGGCTGGAAAATATATCAGGGGAAAATGGCTTTCTTTGGTTTTTGTCCTGGTAAGTTCCAGTTCTGCTTGGCCGCCTTGCACCACATGCTGTGGAAGTGACATGTGGAAGTAATATGTGCCATTTGTTTAAAACATAGAAGACTTTGTGCCCCACAGTCTCCTCTGCCTCACTGAGAGGGGAGGCAGAGAACACTTGCTGTGGGATGTACAGTCCTACAGCTCAGCAGAGTTTATTGTAGAGCTTGTGCCCTGTATCACAGACTGAAGCCAAACAAAAGAACCAAGGAAGCATCATAAGGTTTCTTAAAGTAATTGATAGCATTTGGGATGAAATGCCTTAAATAAGCCTCCACCCCTCATATTTTACCAGAAACAATGTGCAAGTTGCCATCCAGGTTTTGTTGCAGTTAGTTATTTTCTTTTGTACAAGGAGATTCAGATGTATTTAGTATACAAGCCTTGTTCCCAACTCTTGGTATTTTGTTGAAAATTTTTGTTTCAAAGCATACATTCTACCCACAGACATCCTTATATACTATCAGAAAGATAGAAGTGGCCTTGAACACATTCAGATGCTGAACAGGAGCAGTTCTTCAGGAACATGGATGAGGTGTGCTTGCTAATCTTTCTCATGTAGCTTTGTCATGGAGAATGAACAGAAGTCCAGCACTTAATCAAGTGCAAACACTGTTCACTGTGCTTTCATATTTTATATGTACAATCTGTCTAACAGGTATATTTAGTGTGCTATTAACATCTCATTTGGTGGTTTCTACGGAGGTGAAGATTTATTGGAATGATTAAATGAGGTGAATTTAGTTACAATCATACACCGTAAAGCAAATGTGTGCAATATGACTGATACTTCGGCAGAAAAACATCAGGCATTGTGAAATAAAAATCAAAACAGTGTTTATTCTAATTAATATTTAGGCTGTATAATGGCTTATTTCTGCCAGATCAAAGACT